TATATAAATAATATGTGTTATATATGTATGTATGTATGACATATGTTATTGTGCTAGTTATTTGTTTAATAGTAATCAAAGGTTAGATTGCCATAATTGCTTCCCTGGGAGTATATTCTTTAGAACCCAAAGTAGCTTACTTCTAAGTAGATACCTATAAGTAAAGTTTCCAGATCTGGGCTGGAAAAATCTGGATAACTACCAGATGGTAGCATTTAAAGTTTTCCGTATGCTGTCATCTAGTGATCCTCCTGATTTTTTCAGCCCAGATCTGGTAGGTAGCACTAGTAGAAGTTTGCACAGTTATTTTACCAAAATACATTATTCTGGATACATTTCTGGTTCATTGTGTGGACCTTTTTTCTAATTCACTTGGCTAAACAGATATTTTTTGAATTTGCTGTTTTGAATACTTTAAAATATGAGGACTGTATTTGGTTTCAACTGGGCAGTTTTAGCCAGAGTATTAAACTATGCCTTAATGCTTCATATATGTTTGGAATGAGCCCAAACTAGCTCCTGCAGTATTAGGAGAAGAATCTTGCCAACATTTAGTTTCACTTTCAAGGATACTAGCATTGCATATAAATTAGATCATGATTAAAAGCAAACTCAGTTATATAAACAAACCAATTTCATAATCCTGCTGTTTGGAAATCATGTTAATGTTGTATATCAGCCACGTCTCTTATGCTATTACAGTATAGGGTTTTCTTTTACAATTTTTGGCTCCTAATCAAGTGAAAATTTTAATTTAAAAAATAAAGATGTGCAGATAAGTATAACTCCAGGCCAACAGAAAACATTCTGTACTTTTAAAAATGGGGGGGGGGATCAAGACCCTAGGTATTTCATGACCTACCCATTGTCACAGTAGGGTTATTCAGCCAACGCTGTAAACTAAGAAGGTCACATGAACAGATCCATGGATTTCCACTTAATGTAATAAATATTGAATTAAATGTTACTTCAACATCCAAATATACTAGAAGATTGTTTTGTAAGTTCAAGACGTTCAAGTTGTTTAGCACTGCAAATACATCAGAACTTAATTGTGTAATTTTGTTATTTTGTAGATGCAGAATCTGCAATTTGTTTAAACCAGCAAATGCTGCTTTTCCAACTGTTTTGATATAATTATTGCTGATATCAAGAATTTTTAGTTTTAGAAGATTTTCAAAGCTGTAGTTATGAACAACAATAATAGAATTGTTGTTCAAATACAGTTCTGTGAGATTATTGTACTTGCGAAGTATTACTGTGTCATTCTTCTCTAAAGTAATATGGTTACAATTAAGATATAGCACAGAAACATTTTTGTTTAGGTTAGAAGGAACAGAAGAATAGTTTTTTGCCACTTCCTCACACTTTACCTGTTAAATAGAGAGAAAGAACAGTTATGAAGATATCATTACAAGTGATTTACAAAATGTTTTACAAATCTCTGTAATATTTGTTGTAAAAAAAAGTTCCTTCAAACAGAAATTCAAGTGATTTAATAATAAAGTAAAGCATAATATGGCAACAAAATCCCATATGAAATAGAACTAAAAAAGAAGTAGCATAGAACAGCGAAATAAGCGATACCCAAATCGGAAACAAAGCAACGACATCTGTATGCTGCTTCTTGTTAGGAATATTTTCATTGCAAGTATATACAAGAAAGGAATGGATCATAAATATGGATACCAGATACTTGAAAATATCAGTACTCCAAATATGAAACAGGTTTAAACAGCTTTCTGTAATGGAGTATGAAGCATAAATATGTGAAGTTTCTATATAACCTAGACTGAAAATTACCTTTTGGCACAGAATTGTGGGGCTGTTTCATTCTAAAAACTATCTTTAGGGCTGCTAAGGGGTGCAAGGGACAACACGTGTTGACACATGCATCATACCAACATGCAGATGACACAATTTTAAATACTTGCATCAGACGTCATGATGCAGCTATTGCAAATTACATAATACTACACTTGATCTTACCTAAAAGGCTAAGGAATGCTTCTTGGCCTTTTGGCTAAGGTCAAATGTAGTATATAATAGCATCATTTGCAATAAATACTTCATGACACACATGTATTTATTATATTATGGCTTGTAATGGGCAGCAGAGTATGATACCTGAAGGAGTTAAAATGTGAATATTAAAATACAATGTACAGTGCTATATTGTATCTCTAATCTGTTACAGAATAATTATTCTTTAATGGGTTTTTAGTCTTAGCATCCTGAAGAAAGCATTCCCTGCTTTTTGGTACGGAATGTACGACATGGTGTGTGTGTGTGTCAATATACGTGCATATTGTGTCCAAGAGTGATGGGATGACTGGCAGTATTGATAATAGGAATGTGTAATCACTATATTTTATAAATGTCACAGGTTAATATATACATGCTCTAAAATATGTTTTAAAAGAAACTGCATTGTACCATATGCCCTCTTAAAACAAGCTCTATGGAATGTAAATCTCATTCTCATCTAGTTGGAAATTGGGAGCTAACAGCTTTCCTTAACAAGTAGCTAGAGAGTAATAGCTGTATTTGGTTCCAAAACTTACAGTTTGAGAAGTATCACTGCATTCAGCACTAACTGGGTGAACAAAGAGAACTGCAACCAGCATCAAGAGCCAAGCAAGCTTCATGTTCAAAATCTGTTAATTTTCAATATAATTCAAATAGTAACAAGGACTGAGGATTTAGTATATGAAACAAGTTAGAGCTGTTATTTGTTCTTCTTTGGCCCATGATTTGTGGTCACAAAATGTATCAATCTTAATTGCAGAGCAAAATAAATGAATAGAATTTTACAGTTGAATAAAATATTGAAATTGAACTAATATTGTTTTTACCACAAAATCATCCATTCAACCATCTGATGACATATGTATGGAAGAAAACTTCTTTTATTCTGACTTTCTAAAACATAGATGACTGTGCATGATCTACAGGCAAACATGCACACACACAGAGATATACACACATAGAGACACACAGAATAATCCTTCATACTCCCATATTCCCAAATTCTGCTTTATGTTTGGACTACTGTAATGACACGTGGAGACTTCTGCAAAGTTGACTGACAAATCAGCCCTGTGCAGAATACATATATAGGAGGCAGAATCTGGACCTTTACTTCTCAAATTGCCTAGTTCCCTCCCCAGTTTCAGAGTGGTTTTCTTACAGAAAATGAGACAAGGTAGAGAAAAGTCCATGAAACGTGCCCCCTCCACGTTTCAAAATAGATGTGATTTTCTCTCAAAAGCATCTCTAGCTGGCAACCAAACAGCAATGATTTTTTGAACAATTCAAAGGCTAGATGCCAGGTCCACTTGCTAAAAGCACAAGCTCTCCACTTTATAAAAGGGTGTTGCTCTAGCTAAATAATATTGCTGTAGATTTTTATGAAGTACAAAAAGTAACTGAAACAAATATTCTCTAAATGCATCTTCAATAATTTAAGAGCAAATTTAAACCTTCCTGAGAACCTTGCTTCTTGCTCCCAATTGAGCCCTAAAATGGTTCCGCTCTGAAGGGCAGCATAAAGCTAGAGTCATATCTCATTGTCATGATGCAATTTATGTGACCATTCTTTACAAAGAAAACTACATAAATCTCTCAAGAAATACAACTAATAAGATGTTTATTTGATACAGTGCAGCAGCCAGAGAAACAAAACCAAGGTTGCAGTAAAGTTTTGTTGTGAAAGCGTCTCTCAATCTTCTCTTCAGCCATATATTCTTTAAAAAGTCAAGTAAAAGCTATTTCTCAAGGTTTCCTATTTATTCCCAAAGCAATCCATGTTAAGCTTTAGGTTGTTTAAAAACAAAGTACAGCTTCAGGGTAACAGTAGAGTTAAATATGACTTCTCACAAGGCATAAATCATTCAGTATCTTTTCTGAATTTCATAAAAAATCAAAACCAGACAGTATATATTCTATAATCTTGGATTATGAAGCAAATTTTGTTATCACATAGTTGTAGAATGCTCTATTTGTATATATCGTACCTTATTTTTTCTTTGGAATATGATACTTGCGTATTTTCCTGTGATTGAAAAAGAAGAGATGAAAGTTGCAGTGTTTCTGCACTTGACTGCAACCTTTGTACCCAATTAGCAGGGAGGAAGTTTAAAATAAAGTGCAGGACACCTTTAGCAAAAGATTGACTATTTGTGTCCGTCTATGAGGTAGAGGCTTGCAGCCAATCAAGAAGGCTTTTGAATACAATCAGTGCAGTTTTATGACATGAGATTGCAAGGTGAAGGATGAGAAATCTCTTAGAGTTTCCAATAAAGCAAGACTGTATTGGATACAAAGAGCTAAACTAGAAAGGTGGGGTTCTTCATTTTTTTAATGGGGATGGTCACTATGCTACTAGCAGTAAAAACATCACTCCTGGCACACAATATGGTCTGTCTATAAATTTTGTTTTCAAAAGGAAGCAGGTATATGCTTGATTTTAGATCAAAGGTCAGCAAAAAAGTCTTGAACAACTAACAGATACTAGCTGAGCTGCATAATAAGGGTCTGAACAGTATGAGGAAATGCTGTTTCTCTCATACTTTCTTTAGTAGCCAGCTCCTCTTCCCAATCTACCTCAGCAGTTTCAGTTTTTAAGTAGTTGTAAGCAAACTGTGGCCTTCATGTCCCTTTTTTGTGGTCCCCATAGACCCCTCCAACTGCGCTGCTGAAGTTTAATTTCCTGCCATTTTTGTGGTAGGAAACAGACAAAATCTGAAATGTTCGCTAAAAATAGGCATGCTGCTGTTTAAAATATTTTTAAAAAAACACCCCAAAACCAAAAAGTCCCAGAAGCCAACAATGGCATTTCTATATTGTTCCTAAGAAAACTACATGAATATATCCATGAAGTCACCAGAAGTTGAGTTCAGTTCAAGGAAGACTTTACTTTTTGTTGTTACTGCTTTGTATTTGCTTTCATTCTCTTTAGTGTAAAATTTACTGCTGTCTTCAATTTAAAAAATGATCAGAATGCAAAAAAAGTTGGATCAGGTTTACAAAATACTTATTTTTGTGACGCAGCAAAGAAAAATTAATTCAAGCTGTGGAAGATGACATCCGGCAGGAAAAGCGGGCAGCAGAAAACATCATAAAAAATATGTCTGAAGAAGATCAAACTAAATATATGGAAATGAAAATAGCAAATGAAAAGCTCTTGCAGGTAGCCTTTCATATTACCCTAAATTACAATTTGATGTGCACTAAATAATTTCATATTTAAGAAATGAAAATAAACTTTTTCAGAACCTTCAGTCAATATATCAAGGGAACATCTTCCAGCCAAATCTAAGATTTTAGCCTTTTAAAGGTTAAATGAGTTCTTGATTAATTCTTTGCCACAGAAATCATGATAGAGGACCTACTAACCTCTTTTTCTTTCTTTATAGCTTTAGTTCTCCAGTTTCTTGCCAGAAGCACAGTTTCTTAATTTAAAGAAACCATGGATGCGCAGTTTGGTAGCTGTGCCTCACAATGGAGGAACCAGTCATGTGCACATTAACCATGCATGATTGTTTAGTGTGATGTGCAGCATGTCTTAGGAGGAAAAGCTCCATATAGGAATTACAGATTTGATTGACTCCATTCAAGAAAGAAAAATTAATTTGTTCAGAAAAGATTAATGAATCTAAGCTTTTAAAAGAGAAAAATGTTTCTTTAACATCAGGAAATTTACAATCATGTCATATTTTGAAACAGGAGCTCTAATCTAACTTTGCATGATTAAGTTGGATATGGACTACAACTGTTATTTCTTATGTTCTTACACTTGTTTCTATAAGAATTTCATTCTACCTGTGCAGGAACCTAGTAAGTTAAATTTGGCTATGAAATTTAGCAAATAAAAATCCTGAAATAATCTGGAGAGCTTCCCACTCAGGTTCTGAGTTCATCTGAGTTTCAAAGGGAAGCTGATTTCCATTCTTTACTATCCACTTCCATTCTTTACTATCCACAAGTGCAGAAATCATCAGAGGAAATTACTCCAATTATTATTGGAATTATTACTATTATTAGGAAATTAGTCTAATGATTAGACTCTTCAAAGAAATGGGAGACATATTTATCACATATAAGATTGGATGTCTTATGATTGAATTTGACCACTTCTGTGCATTTATATAAGATAACATGGCCATGGCTGGGCTGCCTCTAAAGCCTTAATTTTTAAAGTTTCTTTCAAGCACAAAATCTCTAGTAGTTTTTATTATTTAAAAATCTTACTTCCTCTCCTAGGAATTGTCTTCTTTACAACAAGAATTTGATGCTGTGAATATGAAAGAACAAGCTCTGGAAACTGTATGTATTTTCCTATTCTCAAATTGATTACGTAATGGAAGAACAAAGTTGGAATGTGATGGCTGATAAATAAATGTCTTAAGTACAATGGAAAAAAAAGGCAAAATCCTGGGCTAGTATCATTTTAGCTTTTTTTTTTTTTTAATCTTCAGGACACTGATCATCAATTGATGGTTGCCACTGTAGTGTATAATAAAAGTAGGTAACTTTTTCTGGTCTGGGGATTGCACTCCAATTTTTTGTCCTGCTAAGGACCCTCGGGGTAGGATAAAACATTGTTATTCTTTTTGGTGCTTTTTAGGAGATTGGAACAAGGCATGTACAGCTAGAATTGGGCTGACACTTAGCACATACTGTAGCAACAACAACAAAACTCATGGTTTTGTTATTGAATTGCTATGTGTATGATCCCTTGCCGTTATATTATTTTATGATATCAAGCATAGGTGCTACAAATTTGGAAACTACTTAAAGCATAGAAAGCAGAATAAGTAGTGAAAATGCAGTTTCAGGACAAGAAAGATAGGCATGTTATGGCCCTTGAAAGAAACTACAAGATCTTATATAGACTACCTCCCAGGGCCACTTACATTTTTAACATTTGTGCTGTTGTTTTTATTCTGCCCAACTCCCAGTGACCCTTTTAGCACATTTTAGCACTAAAATACTGGAAAGGAGAATTGCTTCTTGAAGGGAATTTATCACTATTTACTTCCCCTGTCATGTAACACACTACAGTAAACTACATGGCTGGATTCACACATTACATAGCACAATGAGTGAATTCAGCCATTGGGGTTTGTAAACCCATCCAGTTGTGTTTTAGTCAATGAATAAAAGTTAAGCAAACCATTTATAATATGGGAACTTAAGTCTGGGTATGCTTCTGCTATTCAGTTTATAATGTTAAAACTCAGTATAAGTAACTTAACATGCTTTATACCAGTGTTCCTCAAACGTGGCCACTTTAAGACGTGTGGACTTCAACTCCCAGAATTCCCCAGCCAGCACTGCTTTATACTAAGTGACAGAGCTTCTGAGTAACTTTCCAAATGTTTGATAGTCTCAGTTTAATTACTCCCACAATTGTTTTTTTTAATATTTATATATCAATATTTCTATGAATTTTCCCATTTTGATACTCTATTAGAAAGTTACTGTGTAACACTTTAAAACTTCAACAGGTTATAACTTTGATATTACTTTTGCTTCCTCAGTTTCAGAATCTCACCAGAAAATAATTTTGGCAGCTATTTTTATTATTTTGTAATTTTCACACGCTAGCAGCTATATTTGGATGGTGCAGATGTTCTTAAACCAAGGATGGTTAAGAAGGCTCAGAAATAGATATGAAAGAAGAAAATGGATACAGAAGATGCCAGTTAGCAGTGTACATGTCTGTATGTGAATATGGAGAATGGCTTTATGTTATCTCTTTGTTTAGGAGTGGTTAGTAGTAATAATGTATAAATGAATGAACATATGCGTGTATTTATGTAAGAGAATGTATGTGCAGAGCACCCAATTTTAGCAGGAACCTTCCTGTGCTACCATCTAGTTGCTGGTTAGCCATAAGACAATGTGACTTGTGGCTAAAACAGATTCCCTGTGCCTGGTCTTATCTATCTGCTTCGGTTGGATAACTGACAAAGCACCATGTACATGTTTTCTTTCTTTAGGAAATTGCCCACTCCCAAATTAAACAAGAGGCCTTACAGCTATATGAAAAGCTCCATGGTCTTGAGGAACATCGAGATCAAATGATTGCGGAGGACAAGAGCATGGGATCTCCCCAGGAGGAGAGAGAAAGACTGTTAAAACAGGTGGAAAAATTATTGAAGAAAGGTTACTTTCCATAATACTTGTAAAGATCAGTAGGAACAAGTGGAAATATAGAACCTGAGTACTTCCACATCATGTTAATGTAGAAAAGCCACACTTTTCTTCATTTTTTACAGGATACCATCATGAAACTAGGCCAGCAGATGTAATGATTGGAGTGGAATAGGTGACCTTGACCAACAGAACTAACTGTGAGGACACACTTGTGTAAAGGGACACTGTTCTCCACTGTTTGGAGGGAGACATGATAGTTGCACTGTGGCATGTCATACAAGACTCAGTATTCACATATCATAAAAAAAATTGGGAAGGAGATAAATATGTATGTGCATAGCATACAATTTATTTTCCTTTCCCTAATAGACTGAAACACTGAGGTAAGCCTGTAGGATAATAAATGTATTATATTTAGATGGCAGAAAAACACAAAGGGTGCAACTAAAAGATTATGAAAGCCTAATTTAGCAGCAGTACATGTGAAAACTAGCTGAGTATAAAGCCACCAGTGCAATGCAGCTGGCAAAAAATCTAAAATGAGTTTAGGGTATCTCCACAAATGACATTTGTGCTATTCTGGGACTGGCTCTGGGGATGGATCCCACACCATCATCTCCATTGGAAATCTGAGCAAATGTACGGTATTTCTAGCAGAATTTGGAGACATTTGTTGCCATATGTTACTTTTTCTAATATGCACATATTTGTGTTACTGAAATTTAAGACAGTATTTTATTCAGTAAATTAATTAGACAATGCAAGTAATATCAATCTGTTTCTAGAGCTAAATCAGCATTCTTACCGTTCTTTCCATAATTGAATAATTTATTTGTGTTACTAAGAAATGTGTTATCTCTTTCTCAAGGTGAAGGAAGATAATCAAGAAATAGCAAGTATGGAGAGACAGTGAGTGCTCTTCTATATTGCCTCTCTACTTTTTATGTCTGCTTTAAGTGCA